CCATGACGATCTATTTCTTACGGATGGCGAAGCGAAGATAGCAGAACATGATACTAGACTTGTCGGTGTCGTATTCGTGCGGCATCCTGTGAAATACTGAATTGTCATTTAACTTAAAATCACCCGAATCCGCGCGACTGCCGACCCGGGAGCAAATCTCCGACCGCAATCAACCCGGGAGCCCAGAATGCTACAGGACTCGCCGTTCGGTTATGAACCTTGAGCAATCCAAGTGGTCCATGACTCGTCATGAGGAGCCCCACCTAATCGGCGTTTAAGACGAGTCAGAGGGTCAGAGAGGTGTCATTATGTGGCCTGCATAAATATTGAGATCATTGCTGATATAATAAGATGATTGCTAATCTTTCTTTACCCTGTCTCCATGGCTTTGCCGGCTAATTCTGGAATTTCTATGCTCCTGCAACCATTAGGTATTAAGGCGAATGAGCCAAGGATGAGTCGCTCTAAGACAGTCGCCTCCGGCGGCGAGTTGGACCTTGCGGCGAGCTGGGTCCTGCGGCGAGCTGGGCCGCGGCGAGTTGGACCCTGCGGCGAGCTGGGTCGCGGCGAGTCGGCCGCGGCGAGTAGGGTCGCGGCGAGCTGGTCGCGGCGAGCTGGTCGCGGCGAGTTGGGATGCTCCGCAGGTGGCGTGCTCGTCCGAAGGGATTTCCTCCAACCGCCTATACGAAAGAAAAAAAAAGAAGACATCACCGACGTAGAGAACGTAGGAGAGGAGGGTCCTGGGAGAGTTGCGGATTCGCAGCCCTGGACGCGGGTGCTGTCGAGAGACGACAAGGCTCTATTTCTGGCCCCGAGGAAAGCCGAGAGAACGGTCAGCCGATTCAACCGTACGTTTGGCCCCAGTACGGCGGGATTCGAAGTGGATTTCATTCCAACCGACGAAAACATGCAATTCGTCTCGAAGAACCTCCTCCGAATTTTCTGCGACATTCGCGAGGTAGTTCAGGAAGCGCAGCCGCGTTTGAAGGCCGGCGGCGGTATCACCGTCAGGGTCCCCCATCAGGCTCAGATCGAGGCCTTGAAGAGTATCTCGCACATCGCAGGTATCGAGGTCAAGCTCAATCTGCCGACGGCGGCTTCTCTTTGGGGGCGCGTTACGGGTGTTCATCCGTCGGCGTCGTTCATGGAGGGAGATCTCCTCGAGCGTCTTCGACCGCAGGGAGTCGTTGAGGTCCTGCGAGAGAGATATTCAACTTGCGAATCTGCATCGGCCTCCGAGAACAAGAGAGTGCAGAAACCCTCGAGCCGCATCCGTCTCAGATTCGAGGGCGAGATCAGGTCAGAGGTGTCGATTGCACACCAAATGTTCCGGGTGACCCTTTGTCCTGCGTCACCATTGCAGTGCCTCACGTGCTGCGAGTTCGGACATCGCGCAGCTATGTGCCCGGAGAAACTCAACCCACGCTGCAGGAAATGCGGAGCCCTCGGCCTTCAGCTTTGGCAGTGTACCGCCCGAGCGAGATGTATCAATTGCAAGGGCGAGCACGCTGCTAATGATTCGAGATGTCCCGTGTACCCGGTGTACGCCAAAGCTGCCCAGGATCTTAGAGCGACTCATCCTTGGCTCATTCGCCTCAATACCTAATGGTTGCAGGAGCATAGAAATTCCAGAATTAGCCGGGGAAGCCATGGAGACAGGGTAAAGAAAGATTAGCAATCATCTTATTATATCAGCAATGATCTCAATATTTATGCAGGCCACATAATGACACTTCTCTGACCCTCTGACTCGTCTTAAACGCCGATTAGGTGGGGCTCCTCATGACGAGTCATGGACCACTCGGATTGCTCAAGGTTCATAACCGAACGGCGAGTCCTGTAGCATTCTGGGCTCCCGGGTTGATTGCGGTCGGAGATTTGCTCCCGGGTCGGCAGTCGCGCGGATTCGGGTGATTTTAAATTAAATGACAATTCAGTATTTCACAGGATGCCGCACGAATACGACACCGAC